CCTTAACTGATATCTGAATGTTCGCCATCTGTCGAGATATCGCTTCCATTTTGATTCTGTGACCTAAATAGGTAGTTTTTCGACCCAAAAAAGTCAATGGTGAAAACAGAATTGAGCTATCTTTGCTCTGAAAGGAGTTCGAAATTTTTGGTAGGACCTACTAATCAATTTCCATAACTGATATCTGAATGTTCGTCATCTGTCGAGATATCGCTTCCATTTTGATTCTGTGACCTAATTAGGTAGTTTTTCGACCCAAAAAAGTCGATGGTGAAAACAGAATTGAGCTATCTCTGCTCTGAAAAAAGTTTGAAATTTTTTCTAGGACCTACTAATCAATTTCCATAACTGATATCTGAATGTTCGCCATCTGTCGAGATATCGCTTCCATTTTGATTCTGTGACCTAATTAGGTAGTTTTTCGACCCAAAAAAGTCAATGGTGAAAACAGAATTGAGCTATCTTTGCTCTGAAAAAAGTTTGAAATTTTTTGTAGGACCTACTAATCAATTTCCATAACTGATATCTGAATGTTCGCCATCTGTCGAGATATCGCTTCCATTTCGATTCTGTGACCTAATTAGGTAGTTTTTCGACCCAAAAAAGTCAATGGTGAAAACAGAATTGAGCTATCTTTGCTCTGAAAAAAGTTTGAAATTTTTTGTAGGACCTACTAATCAATTACCATAACTGATATCTGAATGTTCGCCATCTGTCGAGATATCGCTTCCATTTTGGTTCTGTGACCTAATAGGTAGTTTTTCGACCCAAAAAAGGCAATGGTGAAAACAGAATTGAGCTATCTTTGCTCTGAAAAAAGTTTGAGATTTTTTGTAGGACCTACTAATCAATTTCCATAACTGATATCTGAATGTTCGCCATCTGTCGAGATATCGCTTCCATTTCGATTCTGTGACCTAATTAGGTAGTTTTTCGACCCAAAAAAGTCAATGGTGAAAACAGAATTGAGCTATCTTTGCTCTGAAAAAAGTTTGAAATTTTTTGTAGGACCTACTAATCAATTACCATAACTGATATCTGAATGTTCGCCATCTGTCGAGATATCGCTTCCATTTTGATTCTGTGACCTAATTAGGTAGTTTTTTGACCCAAAAAAGTCAATGGTGAAAACAGAATTGAGCTATCTCTGCTCTGAAAAAAGTTTGAAATTTTTTCTAGGACCTACTAATCAATTTCCATAACTGATATCTGAATGTTCGCCATCTGTTGAGATATCGCTTCCATTTTGATTCTGTGACCTAATTAGGTAGTTTTTCGACCCAAAAAAGTCAATGGTGAAAACAGAATTGAGCTATCTTTGCTCTGAAAAAAGTTTGAAATTTTTTGTAGGACCTACTAATCAATTTCCATAACTGATATCTGAATGTTCGCCATCTGTCGAGATATCGCTTCCATTTTGATTCTGTGACCTAATTAGGTAGTTTTTCGACCCAAAAAAGTCAATGGTGAAAACAGAATTGAGCTATCTTTGCTCTGAAAAAAGTTTGAAATTTTTTGTAGGACCTACTAATCAATTACCATAACTGATATCTGAATGTTCGCCATCTGTCGAGATATCGCTTCCATTTTGATTCTGTGACCTAATAGGTAGTTTTTCGACCCAAAAAAGGCAATGGTGAAAACAGAATTGAGCTATCTTTGCTCTGAAAAAAGTTTGAGATTTTTTGTAGGACCTACTAATCAATTTCCATGACTGATATCTGAATGTTCGCCATCTGTCGAGATATCGCTTCCATTTTGATTCTGTGACCTATATAGGTAGTTTTTCGACCCAAAAAAGTCAATGGTGAAAACAGAATTGAGCTATCTTTGCTCTGAAAAAAGTTTGAAATATTTGTAGGACCTACTAATCAATTTCCATAACTGATATCTGAATGTTCGCCATCTGTCGAGATATCGCTTCCATTTTGATTCTGTGACCTAATAGGTAGTTTTTCGAATCAAAAAAAAAAATGGTGAAAACAGAATTGAGCTATCTTTGCTCTGAAAAAAGTTTTGAAATTTTTTGTAGGACCTACTAATCAATTTCCATAACTGATATCTGAATGTTCGCCATCTGTCGAGATATCGCTTCCATTTTGATCCTGTGACCTATATAGGTAGTTTTTCGACCCAAAAAAGTCAATGGTGAAAACAGAATTGAGCTATCTTTGCTCTGAAAAAAGTTTGAAATTTTTTGTAGGACCTACTAATCAATTTCCATAACTGATATCTGAATGTTCGTCATCTGTCTAGATATCGCTTCCATTTCGATTCTGTGACCTGAATAGGTAGTTTTTCGACCCAAAAAAGTCAATGTTGAAAACAGAATTGAGCTATCTTCGCTCTGAAAAAAGTTCGTTTTTTTTTCACAGAGACCTACTGATCAATTTCCGCAACTGAAATCTATGTTTGTCATCTGTCGAGATATCGCTCCCATTTCAATTCTGTAATATCATTAGGCGATCTTTCGACCCATAAAAGTCAGCGGTGAAAACAAAATTGAGCTATCTTCGCTCTGAAAAAAGTTTAAAATTTTTTGTAGGACCTACTAATCAATTTCCATAACTGATATCTGAATGTTCGCCATCAGTCGAGATATCGCTTCCATTTTGATTCTGTGACCTGAATAAGTAGTTTTTCGACCCAAAAAAGTCAATGGTGAGAACAGAATTGAGCTATCTTTGCTCTGGAAAAAGTTTGAAAGTTTTCGTAGGACCTACTAATCAATTTCCATAACTGATATCTGAATGTTCGCCATCTGTCGAGATATCGCTTCCATTTTGATTCTGTGACCTATATAGGTAGTTTTTCGACCCAAAAAAGTCAATGGTGAAAACAGAATTGAGCTATCTTTGCTCTGAAAAAAGTTTGAAATTTTTTGTAGGACCTACTAATCAATTTCTATAACTGATATCTGAATGTTCGCCATCTGTCGAGATATCGCTTCCATTTTGATTCTGTGACCTAATTAGGTAGTTTTTTGACCCAAAAAAGTCAATGGTGAAAACAGAATTGAGGTATCTTTGCTCTGAAAAAAGTTTGAAATTTTTTGTAGGACCTACTAATCAATTTCCATAACTGATATCTGAATGTTCGCCATCTTTCGAGATATCGCTTCCATTTTGATTCTGTGACCTAATTAGGTAGTTTTTCGACCCAAAAAAGTCAATGGTGAAAACAGAATTGAGCTATCTTTGCTCTGAAAAAAGTTTGAAATTTTTTGTAGGACCTATACTGATCAATTTCCATAAATGATATCTGAATGTTCGCCATCTGTCGAGATATCGCTTCCATTTTGGTTCTGTGACCTAAGAGGTAGTTTTTCGACCCAAAAAAGTCAATGGTGAAAACAGAATTGAGCATCTTTGCTCTGAAAAAAGTTTGAAATTTTTTGTAGGACCTACTAATCAATTTCCTTAACTGATATCTGAATGTTCGCCATCTGTCGAGATATCGCTTCCATTTTGATTCTGTGACCTAAATAGGTAGTTTTTCGACCCAAAAAAGTCAATGGTGAAAACAGAATTGAGCTATCTTTGCTCTGAAAGGAGTTCGAAATTTTTGGTAGGACCTACTAATCAATTTCCATAACTGATATCTGAATGTTCGTCATCTGTCGAGATATCGCTTCCATTTTGATTCTGTGACCTAATTAGGTAGTTTTTCGACCCAAAAAAGTCGATGGTGAAAACAGAATTGAGCTATCTCTGCTCTGAAAAAAGTTTGAAATTTTTTCTAGGACCTACTAATCAATTTCCATAACTGATATCTGAATGTTCGCCATCTGTCGAGATATCGCTTCCATTTTGATTCTGTGACCTAATTAGGTAGTTTTTCGACCCAAAAAAGTCAATGGTGAAAACAGAATTGAGCTATCTTTGCTCTGAAAAAAGTTTGAAATTTTTTGTAGGACCTACTAATCAATTTCCATAACTGATATCTGAATGTTCGCCATCTGTCGAGATATCGCTTCCATTTTGATTCTGTGACCTAATTAGGTAGTTTTTCGACCCAAAAAAGTCAATGGTGAAAACAGAATTGAGCTATCTTTGCTCTGAAAAAAGTTTGAAATTTGTTGTAGGACCTACTAATCAATTACCATAACTGATATCTGAATGTTCGCCATCTGTCGAGATATCGCTTCCATTTTGATTCTGTGACCTAATAGGTAGTTTTTCGACCCAAAAAAGGCAATGGTGAAAACAGAATTGAGCTATCTTTGCTCTGAAAAAAGTTTGAGATTTTTTGTAGGACCTACTAATCAATTTCCATGACTGATATCTGAATGTTCGCCATCTGTCGAGATATCGCTTCCATTTTGATTCTGTGACCTATATAGGTAGTTTTTCGACCCAAAAAAGTCAATGGTGAAAACAGAATTGAGCTATCTTTGCTCTGAAAAAAGTTTGAAATATTTGTAGGACCTACTAATCAATTTCCATAACTGATATCTGAATGTTCGCCATCTGTCGAGATATCGCTTCCATTTTGATTCTGTGACCTAATAGGTAGTTTTTCGAATCAAAAAAAAAAATGGTGAAAACAGAATTGAGCTATCTTTGCTCTGAAAAAAGTTTGAAATTTTTTGTAGGACCTACTAATCAATTTCCATAACTGATATCTGAATGTTCGCCATCTGTCGAGATATCGCTTCCATTTTGATCCTGTGACCTATATAGGTAGTTTTTCGACCCAAAAAAGTCAATGGTGAAAACAGAATTGAGCTATCTTTGCTCTGAAAAAAGTTTGAAATTTTTTGTAGGACCTACTAATCAATTTCCATAACTGATATCTGAATGTTCGTCATCTGTCTAGATATCGCTTCCATTTCGATTCTGTGACCTGAATAGGTAGTTTTTCGACCCAAAAAAGTCAATGTTGAAAACAGAATTGAGCTATCTTCGCTCTGAAAAAAGTTCGTTTTTTTTTCACAGAGACCTACTGATCAATTTCCGCAACTGAAATCTATGTTTGTCATCTGTCGAGATATCGCTCCCATTTCAATTCTGTAATATCATTAGGCGATCTTTCGACCCATAAAAGTCAGCGGTGAAAACAAAATTGAGTTATCTTCGGCCTGAAAAAAAATCGGAGATACGCCAATGTTAGGTGACTGGCTGAATAAGTGACGTCCAAGATGTAGAAAACCGACCCTATAAATAACTTTTTCTCTAAACTTTGCTCTTCGTGCATCTTTGGGCTAATTTAGTTTCAGTGTGTATCTCGAGAAAAACTACGAAACCTTGTTCCTTGTTCGCGTGTTGTGAGTACTTTTTCATTCTGAACGTGTTTATTTTCTTCCTAAGGTGCGTGCCCTGATAGTTTCACTGCTTTTTAGAGATAAGTGAATCGAAACAATACGAATTCCTGGTAATTTTCAAAATATCATTCATACAAACATACACTACTTTCAGAAAATAAGTGTTGATGGGTGTCGATACCAATATAACATCAAATATTGCTGATAAAACGTAAAATAATAATCTGGATGTATTCAAATGTTTACTTTTTACACACCGTGTAACTGTCCAGATTCAAGATATCCCCACAGGGCGGGCTTTATAACTGGACTACAAGATCACCCGATTTGATCCCGTGGATTTTCACCTGTGGCTGTGACTTGAATCTGAAGTGTTTTTTGTCTGAAGTTACTACAAGGAAGCATAAAGAAGTATGCAGTTAAATGAAACACAATCAGAATGCCATCTGAAAATTACTGAGAAATATCACAAAAAGAAAAAGTTCGGATCAGAATGGAGGAAACTTTAAGTATTAATGAAAAACCATTTATTTTTGAGAAATTTACAACTCTGTATCTCAAAAGTTGAGACGTTTAAGTCTTACGTTCATATGAAATTTTCTTATACTTATAAGAATGGGCTGAAGAATCGCCTTCTCAAATATTGACAATTAGGAATCACCCTGTATAAATAAAGATCAACAATTATTCGCAGAATATTCAACAATCCGATATCATGAAGAATTTCCTGTGTATTTCATGATATCGATACAATTACCACCTTGATGTTCTGATGCACCTTATTGTATATGAGACCTTTGAAAATACTTATTATATTCTGTAGATCGAAATTCTTTGGCAATATAATAAAATGACTAAACACTTTTGAACGTTCTTAGAATACATATCACATGACGTTGAACATAAATAGCTTGCCAAAACCGTAAAAAATCACAGGCACAATATTTAATAACATCCAGAAATAGAAATTCCTTTGTTTGTTTCTATTTACCAAATGATTTTTCCTTTTAAAATTGGCAAATTAAAATCCAAGGATGTCTGATAATTCGATCGTCAAGATTTTCAATTTTGAACGTAAAATTCTGGAAATACAGATTCACTCCTCAGGAAAAATAATAATGACTGATGTGTTTTCCCCAACGTATTATAACGATAGGTACTCGTTCTCAGAAATGATTAATTGAATGCATGATTTCCAAATCCCTTGCATAATCCATTAGTTTCCTTCAGATCTTCTTCTGTGCACAATCTCTTCACCTCTTCAACTTTCTGCTACTCTACCTCCTGCTACTATTTCTTTTGCTAGACACTCACTCTATTGCTTTTATACCTATTGTTATTTATGAAAGTGTTTGTTATATATTTGAATTTTAAACTGTATTTGATGTGTACTGACTTGTCCAATTGCTTTTTAAAGCTCATCTTAATGGATCAATTGACACTCTCTATTGATATATTCACTAATTACGTTTCAGGTTGATTTTCTACAATATGAAATATTCTGCATGATTTACTATTTTTCTTTCTCTTTCCACTGAGTTCCTTTTCCATTAATACTAAGCGTTCCATTGTTTTCCGAAACTATTGCAACAAAAAAATATTTATTTTTAGTTTCGTTGCATCGTCCCTGCTCGGGCGCCAAATGTAACGTTCCCCGTTCCCAAGAAGAATGAATTAAATATTTATTGAGTCAAAAATACCTTGTTACTTACTAATTGTGCACAATATCTTCATTCTTTAAACTCCCTGCTACTCTTATTCCTTCTGCTAAACACTACAATATGAAATATTCTTAATGATTTCCTATTTTCCTTTCACTTTTACAAAAACCCACTTTTCGCCTACTTGTTTATATTTCCATTCTTCCATCTCCTTGACTACCTCTCATTCCCTTGTCAAAAGGACCCCTGCGTATATTTTCTATCATTCTACAAATATCTACCATAATTTCAGGCTGTCTGTTGAATTTCCAACATGGGAAACACGAGCAGCTCGCGTTTCGACGAACAGACCGACGACGACGTTTGGTGGCCGAATTCGGGTCAAGCGGACCCAAATCCGGTCGAACCGGAGGCCGATGCCAGCGAACCGAGCCAGCGAGAATTCCGAGACGAAATCGACTTCCAATTGGAAATGGAGAGGATCAGAGAGAAACGAAAGAACATCATTGGCAAAAAAAGGAAGGAAATGGAGGATTTACGTGAAGAAGTGGCCAAGTTGAAGCAGGAAAATGCGGAACTGAAGAAAAATAACTTACCAGGTGAATATTTCCTAATGAGAATGATTATTACCATCATATATAATTTTATTTTTGGAGCAGTTGGAACGCTAGATGAAGAAACCAAACTGTTGCGCAGACAAAACGCAGATCTGAGAGACATCTTGGAAGAAAAATCTAGACTGCTTTGTGAAAGTGAAACCCTTTTAGAAAAGAATCGAGAACTTAGGATAAGTATTGCAGAAATGCAAGAACAGATGCAGCACTTGAATGCGGAAGTAGTCAATTTCGAGCAAGAGAGAGAAGATTATCGAGCTCACGTAGTCGCCCTGAAGGATGTCATTTCGGTCTCGAAACACATGCTGAAAATACGTGAATCCCAGCTCAAAGAAGTAAGAAAATGAAAATAGGGTCGAAAATGGATTAGATTGGATAAATCTTTGTCAGAAATGAAATAATGAGTGCTAGTATGAATTATATTTATTATTTTTAGCTCAAAGAAAAAGTTGACAGTATCGAAAAAACTCTGTCGGACCGAGAGACACAAGTTTTATCTCAAGAGCTGAGAAATGAATATGAAAGACAGCTTGCCAACATTAGAAATCTCAGAACACTGTATGAAGAAAGGCAGAGGATGGAGAGAAGAGAAAAGGCAGACTTGATGTCGACGATGGAAGACGTGAAAAAAGAGCTGGAAGAAGAACAAAAGAAAAACGGGTGGGTTAATTTTTTTTGTGAATGAAATTATATTCAACCTCGCTTGTTTCCAATTTCATGTTTAAAGAAAATTTTGTCCTCAATTTCGAAGAGTAAAATATCAATTACGGTAGGAGTTACATTGGTAAAGACTACTCCCAACCTTCTACTTTCATCTTGTACCACCTGATCAAGCCACGTGGAATAAGAAATTTGGGAGGGGGGAAGCCTTTACTAACACCATTCCTACCCAGATAGTTGAATCCCACCTGTATTTGTTATACCACAGAGAACTAGATACTAGAATCATCGAGTTGGAAACAGAAAACTCAACCAAGTACGACACTATAAAAACCCTGGAATCCAACCTGGGCCTTTCGAAAGCAGAATGCCGCCAATTCAAATCGGAACTGTCCGTTATCAACCAGCTCTTCTCCGAAATTCTGCTAGGCTTCAACAGCTCCCAGGTCATCGATCTAGACAAGCTGCAGAAGCACCTGGAAGATCACCACGACCTGCTGCAAGACATCGTGGTGAACGAAATATCCTCAGAGGTGTCTTACGCTTTGCCCAAAGTGCTTCTGGATCTGCTGAACCAGGTCAGTGGCGAGAAAAGCAAGCCAAGACACCTAGAAACCATCCAAGAAGAACAAGGTTTGCACCCATTGGAGACCTTCAACGAAACCTATAACCTTTTCTTTGTAGATTCTGCTTCCTCGATTCACCAACAGATGAATAGTGCAGAGGAAATAGTAGAGAACCTTCCCAAGGTGTGGCGGGTTCTGATTGAGCTGCTCAGCCACCAGACTGCCCCGACCAACACCCTATCGAGCTCCGAGGACAAGGAAAATCCCTGCTACAAAACTGTGGACACTCCTAAAGGCCCAAGTCCCGTTCTGAGTGTTAGCAGAACGTTCATCAGACTGAAGGTGAGCAACTGACTGATTGGTTGACTGCCATATTCAAAGAAACTTATTATTATTTTAAGGATCTAATTCTGGAGAAGAAGTCATTGGAAAAAGAGACAAACCATCTCAAGCAGCTGAATGGCCATTTGGAGAATAGGTTGCAGGACCAAGAAAAGAGGCTAGAATTGGTGCATTCTGAGCTGTCAAAAACTTGGCTCGTGGTGAGTCAAACAGCAGCAACTTCAGGGGCACCACAATTTTTTTCTTGGGTAAAATGTTTTCTTGTTTTTAGGTGGGTACCTTGCAGAAACAACATCAGATGCTCCACACCCAAGAAAAAATCCTCCGGTATGAACTGGCTCAGAAACGGAAGCTGCTGAACGAGCTCAAAGAAGAGCTAGAAGAAAGCAGAGAAAAATGGGCTCAGGCCAGAGCGAAAAACTCCAATACGGAACAGCAGTGGAGGCTGCTCAGAACAGAATTCGCGTCGAGGAAAAACACAGTTCTGAGCGAGGAGTACAACAACAGCGGTGAGAGCGGCTACAGCGATGACAGAGAAGGTCTCAGCAGCGACGAGGAACCGGGATACGAGACTGATATCTCAGAATGTGCTCAGAAACTGACGGAAGAAGAAAAATCCGATTTAGACAAGCTTCACGAGAAAATTGAAGATGGCGCTAGCTTCCTTGAATCGAGCGAGGCGGAAGGCTCAGGAATGCAAGCCAGTACATCGAAAGATTGTAATCTGAAATCACCAAAAGAGGGAAGTATTCTTCTTGACAACCCAGCTGACGCCAATGGAGGTGCAGAAAGTACTCAGGAAATCACAGAAGAAAGTGAAATTGACTGGCTGCGACCCACAACTTCCACTGAGGCCTCAGAAATCACAAATGAAACTTATGGGAAGCCATCCAAAGATACTCAGAAATCACTGGAGTTTTTAGAATCCTCAAGTTTGCGTGATAACAATCAGGAGAACACGCCCAAGGATGATTCTAACTGTACTCAGAAAATCACTGACGAAAACGAAGAAGCCAATGAAGAATCAACCAAGGAAATATCTAATGAAGTTGCAGAAGTTAAATCCGACCAAGCCATATCTCTGCAGGAAGATGAGAGTGATGAATGTGCTCAGAAAATTGCGAGTGATTGTATCGATAGGTCAGTGTCAAATCACGAGTCTGTGAGTTTCGAGAAAGATGGAAGCAATGAATGTGCTCAGAAAATCACGAGTGGTTGTAACGATAGGTCAGTGTCAAATCACGAGCCTGTAAGTTTCGAGGAAGATAAAAGCAATAAATGTGATCAGAAAATCACGAGTGATTGTAAGGAAATGTCAGTTTTGAATCAAGAGTCTGCAAGTTTCGAGAAAGATGAAAGCAATGCATGTTCTCAGAAAATCACGAGCGATTGTAACGATAGGTCATTGAGAAATCACGAGTGTATAGGTTTATTGCAGAATGTTCAGTCTTGTAGTTCAATAGACTTGAAGACTGAGGAAGTAGAAACTGATGACAAGGTGAAACAGTCTAGTATAGCTCCAGAATATGCCAAGGAAACACTTGAAGGTCCATTCCTACAAACAGGCGATAGCAATGGAACTGCTCAGAAAATCACGAGTGTAGAAAAAGAAAAAGCGAACTACGAGTCTGCGATCTCAGAGAGAGAAATGAGTGGTGTCAAAACCAATGAGTCGAGTATTGCTTCAGAATGTATTCAGGGGCCATCTAACGGAACCCTTTCTCTTCGAATACCCGGTGAATGCTCTCAAGAAATCTCAAGTACTAGGCGAGTTAAAAATAACGAGTCTGTAGGTTTAATGAAACAAATAAATAGTGTCGACCGAAATTCTTGCAGTTCAGAAGACCCGATGAGGACTGATGAAACAGAAGAACCTACTGCAACAGTAGAAGCAGATTCTGCCAGTGCAATACAGGGTGGGCAAAAGTTGACTTTAGAAGAAGTTTTAGCTAGAAGAGACGAGAGGCTAAGGCGAATGGAAGGTCAAGCTTCGCAGCTGGTTAGCAAAGTGGCAAGCACGGCTATACGGAGTGTTGCAATTTCGAATAGGTTAGACGACCTACACGAAGTTTATGGACAGAGTGTTGAAAGCAGTGGGGAAAATATTGATAATGATGATGATAGTTTTCAAACAGAAAATTCGCAGAATAATGAAGGAGTCGACTGAAACATAGAAAATAAATGTTGACGTAAGCAGTATTTGAATTTGAAACTATCTATTTGGAATATTTTTGTACTTCAATGGTAATTTTTGTTTTATTACATAAAAATATATCGAGATGAGTAATCTTGTCTTTTACTGAGGAATTTTAAATTTTATGAGCGTTTTATAGGTCACGTGGAATAAGACAAACGTGAAGTTTTCAAAATAATTGAACTATATTCGAAAACAAAAATTTATTTACAATATAACAATGCTACTGAACCATTTACCAACAATTATGATGTGATACTTATAAGAAATATATAACAACAAATACCACACAGTAGGCTATCATTGATTACAAACTTAGTGAAAAACGATTTTCCAACTGGATATCTTCTTTCTTGAGCTAGAACTTTATTTTTTTATTTTGATCTACTCTGTTTCTGACAAAAGTTATAAATGCAGCGAAATGCAAAAAAAAAAAAAGGAAATGAAACAAGCTAAATGAGATTGTCTTTAATTTTCTATAAATATTTTTGGTCTATATTAATTAATCAACTTGAAGAACTTTCATTCAGGGAATCAAGTGAGAGATGAAAAAATTAAAATCTGGGAATAGTACTACACATTTCGATAAAATCAATAGTAATAAAGTTATACAGGGTATGTCACTACGAGCTTACACTATCTTTATATCGAGAAAATCAATCGAGAGAAATTCATGAAAATGTGGATGCTTATATTTTAGAATACGCTCTCTACATTCAAAATATTTTCGACAATGCAGTGTCGCCGCTTCTACTAGAAAGTAGTAGCAACATTGATATTTCAAATAGAACACCCTGTATTTTATTGCATTTTCAGATTCTCCCTGAAGAGCTGATTTCATCGATATATCACACTTTGGGGTCTATCGAAAATGATTACAGAGATATAGGGTGTTCAAAATCGAGATTTTTCAACTTTAGGATTTTTTTGTGTAGAAATAACTATCCATTATCGGTCGAAACGACTCACATGCCCGTATTCCAACTTTTGATTCACTATTTACTGATATTCAATCGGAACAGATACAAGGTGGTTCAAGATTCAGAATTCTGATCACCCTGTATCTGTTCCGATTAAATATCAGTAAATAGTGAATCAAAAGTTGAGATAGGGACATGTGAGGCGTTTTGGCCAATAATACATAGTTTCGACACAAACAAATCCTAAAGTTGAAAAATCTCGATTTTGAACACCCTATATCTCTGTAATCGTTTCCGATAGATCCCAAGTGTGATAAATCGATGAAATCAGCTTTTCACGGAGAATCTGAGAGTGAATTAAAATACAGAGTATTCTATTTGAAATAACAAAGTTGTTGCTACTTTTTGATAGAAGCGGCACCACTGCATTGCTAAACATATTTTAAATGAAGAGAGCTTATTTTGAAATATAAGCACGCACATTTTCATGGATATCTCACGACTGATTATCGATATAGAGAAAGTGTAAGCTCGTCGTGATATACAGGGTAGGGTGAAGTTCTAAATTATTTTATGAGCATCATTTTGAAAAAATTCTATTCTTATAGTGAATCATATTTTTTGGTGAAATTAACCAAGAATCCAATTATACAAACGATTTCATGTCACCATGAGGCTTTGGTATTAAAATCTGCTGTTTTTTCTTCCTACCTATCCATTGTCTTTGAACTCGAAAAAATCTCAACTTCCCAAGTGAATTTTCACAACATCCCCAGGAATCATTTTCAATGACTAGATCAATAAATCTAAACTATGCTAGTGCCATAAAATCGAATGAATCCACTTTGCTAGTAGAATCCTTAAAATTTCCTAGAACACTTAGGTATAAATAGAATACAGAAATACCATCGACTTTATGATTTTTCCCTCCAAACCTATCTCCCTCGTAGATTCTGTAGTTGTTCGCAAGATGGCATCTTTATGTTCTGTGCGTTGTGGTAAAGTTCCTGATCTCCGAAGTTCCTTGCTTTCCATATCATCGATTCCTCTGGAAAATTAAGTAGAATACAATCCTGTTTTTGTTTCAGGAAGCCTACTTATCATTTCATAAATTTAATTCTTCTAGCGAAAGATTTTCTGATCGTCTCTTTTTATGGTTCCTTCTAGGTTAGGAAACAAAACTTACAACAAAAAAATTACCAAAAAGTAATGTGGAATGATTTTATTTGAGTCTAGTGTTGTTACTGTCATTTTGTTCTCTCTAATTTCAATGTGTATAATGTTATAAATAGAATTTGTGGAACTTGAGTACATTTCATGTTTGTGTACAGTAGTTCTCCGTAATTCAATGAGCAGTACTTTTTCCACTGTATTGTTTGGTATTCATGTTTTAGTGTTATAAGTGTTATTATGTTAAACTCAGTTAAATGGTAGAACTTGAGTACTTTATTTTCTTTAGTGTACTTCAGCAGTCTTCTATTTTGCTGTATTTATGTGCAGGTATTTTTTATTGAAGTAATTCTTCAGTTTAATGTAAGATTCAGTAGAATTTGTGGGACTTGAGTACTTTATTTGCTCTATTGTATTCCAGCCGTCATTTATATTAGGTACTGTATTCTGGATTTCACATTGCGGATTCGATTTTTTTTAAATTGCTCAGCAGTGATTTATTTTGCTGTAATTCACATTGCGGACTCGATTTTGCGGTATTTATTTGCAGGTATGTATTTTTGCTGTAATCTCCTCAGTTCCATGTAAGATTCAGTAAAATTTGTAGAACTTGAGTACTTAAGTTGCTCTGGTGTATTCCAGCAGTGATTTATTTTGCTGTAATTCACATTGTGGACTCGATTTCGCGGTATTTATTAGCAGGTATGTATTATTACGGTAATTTCCTCAGTTCCTTGTAAGATTCAGTACAATTTGGAGTACTTGAGTACTTTTATTTGCTCTAGTGTATTTCAGCAGTGATTTATTTTGCTGTAATTCACATTGCGGACTCGATTTCGCGGTATTTATTTGCAAGTATGTATTATTACGGTAATTTCCTCAGTTCCTTGTAAGATTCAGTGAAATTCGTAATATATGTAATGTATTTTCGTTGATAATTATTTTACGATACTTTGCTGTGAGACCATAAATTCTGAATGAACATTTTTTTTTTCAAGAAGCCAATAACAATGAAACGATGGGGAGAGCAGTAACATTGTATTACGGCCATATACAAAAATTTCACCAAGAAAAAAATCACAGCCAATTTGGGGAATCACAGAACGGTAGATTCTAGACGAAGATTCTCTTTCACCACAAATAATCATCAACGTAGCCGTTTTCCTCGCTACTGAAAAATTCTAAAACAATGCGAACGAAACCGACGATCACTAAAACGATTTTGCAAATAAGAAAATTTAGGCAATTACTGTAACTCTTCTCCCTGTAGCAGGCGTGCTTCAGCGTTGCCACGTAGTCCTCTTCCACGGACATCTCCAGACGTTTGACTGACCCCTGGTATTCCATGTGGAAGTTTTCCTTCACGTAGTAGGGGACGTTCAGGTTTTGGGTCTTTCGCATTATTGGATATTTCCTGGAACATTTCAGAAAAAAAGCTGAAATGCGTCCATTTTTGTTAAGGCGACGTCAAAATAGTCAGTGTTTTTTACTGCTGTTTTGCAAAAACACAAACATAATACTTACGAACTGGATTGAAGACTATAAGCTGGATCAGAAATGAAGAGACTAGAGGCCATAGACAGTAGAATTGCAAGCAGTATGGGTAGAATTTGTATGAATGCGGTGTATCCGTTTTGTTGCTGAAAAAAAAAATTGAGTATCAAAAACTCACCAAAAAACGACAACCACAAGACAGCCCAACAAAAATTAGGGCAAAAAAATTTTAATTGAAAATCTACTAATGAAATCAAAGTTGCACAGCTTTAATTCAGAACTTGATATAATCGTACATAAATGGATACATATAGGAGGCCCCAAGGCCGATCCTTGTGGTACCCAAACACAGATCGAAATTCCGACTTCATTATCTATTTTCTCTGAATTTCGTCAATAGATAATCAACATTATGACTTTAGGGGCGAAAAATTGCAACTCCAGGGACGTAACCCCTATTTTGAATCAAAACCGCGACTCCAGCGGCGTACCAATTTTTTTCTGAAAAGGTCAAAAATTCAAAAACGTCGCGAGTCTAAAATTTCTTCTACGGTAAAATGAAAATAAAAATTGTGTAATACCATTTTGAAATTTAAATGGCGACTCCAGGAGCGTACAAACTTTATTATCAACGGGTTAAAAATTTAGGAATTCTAGCATAATTTCGCCACTGACCAAGAGGTCATAGAATTTGGAGGAACGAATCTACTCATCTATTTTTGATGCCTGAAAAAAATTCGGCATAGCTGATTTTTTTCTGAAGTGATGAAATCACAAATGTCAAAATAAGAATCTCTGACACTAACCAAAACAAGATGAACAATTGCAACTTTAGGAACACACCACTTTCTGTTTACAATATAAACACATGTTTTTTTGTAGGAGTCAAAACTCTTAATTAATTCCAAGAAATGGGAAAACAACACCCCCCTCCTTCCACTCACAACCCTATGCAACTCCATGGGCGTACCAAATTTTATACGAAGGGGTCAAAACTAGAAATGAATCCTAAAAAAATATTGAGATACTTCCACTTCCACTTCCATGTGCATCCTTAGCGACTCCATGGGCGTACAATTTTTTTCCAAAGGGGTCAAAATTCGTGAAAAGAATTTCGAAAAATTAGCGAAATACTCCCACCCAACTTCCTGTATCCCCTATGCTTCCGCAATCAGGATCGCGACTCCATAGGCGTACCAACTTATTTCTAAAGGGGTGAAAAAATCGTAATTAATTCCAAAATAAAAGAATAACACTCCCACCCACTCACCTCCTTCTACTCCCTGTGCTCCGGCAATCAAAATAGCGAATCCATGAGCGTACCAATTGTTTTCCAAAGAGGTAAAAAATGTAATTAATTCCAAGAGATATGGGAGAACACTCCCACTCACCTCCCTGACCGTCAATCGAAATTGCGACTCCAAGTGCGTACCAACTATTTTCCAAAGGGGTCAATAAATCGCCATAAATTCCAAAAAAATATATATAAAAACACTCCCATTCACCTCCCTGTGATCCCTGTGCTCCGGCAATCAAAATCGCGACTCCATGGGCGTACCAAAATTTTTCCAAAGGGGTCCAAAACCGTAAAAAACTCCAAAAAAATTGAGAAAAGCACTCCCACTCACCTCCTTGTGCCTCCTGTACTCCGGCAATCAAAATCGCGACTCCATGGCAGTACCAATTTCTTTCCAAAGGGATAAAAAAGAAGTAATGAATTACAAAAAATAGAAAAACACTACGAGTCACCTCCCTGAACATCATTTGCTCCGTCAATCAAAATCGCGACTCCAAGGGCGTACTAATTATTTTCCAAAGGTGTAAAAAAATCGTAATAAATTCCAAAAAAAAATAGAAACCCCCCCCCCCCCCTCCCCTATACCACTGTGCTTCAGCAATCAAAATCGCGGCTCCATGAGCGTACGAATTTTTTTCCAAAGGAGTCAAAAAATCTTAATAAATTCCTCCCATTCACCTACCCGTACTCCCTGTGCTCCTGCAATAAAAATCGCAACTTGATGGGAGTACATTTTTTTTCCAAAGGGGTCGAAAAAATCATAATAAATTCCAGAAAAATTTTAAAAAAACTCCAATTCACATCCTTGCACCCCCTGTGCTCCAACAACCGAAATGGCGACTCCATGAGCGTACAAATTTTTTTCCAAAGGGGTCGAAAATCGAGATAAATTTCAAAAAAATATGAAAACCATCCCATTCACCCCTTGTGCTCCAGAAATCAAAATCGCGACTCCATGGGCGTACCAAATTTTTTCCAAAGGGGTCCAAAACCGTAAAAAACTCCAAAAAAATTGAAAAAAGCACTTCCACTCACCTCCCTGTGCCTCCTGTGCTCCTGCAATCAAAATCGCGACTCCATGGCAGTACCAATTTCTTTCCAAAGGGGTAAAAAAGTAGTAATGAATTACAAAAAATAGAAAAACACTACGAGTCACCTCCCTGAACATCATGTGCTCCGTCAATCAAAATCGTGACTCCAAGGGCGTACCAATTATTTTCCAAAGGGGTCAAAAAATCGTAATAAATTCCAAAAAAATAGAAAAACACCCCCCCTCTCCCCTATACCACTGTGCTTCAGCAATCAAAATCGCGGCTCCATGGGCGTACGAATTTTTTTCCAAAGGAGTCAAAAAATCGTAATAAATTCCTCCCATTCACCTGCCTGTACTCCCTGTGCTCCTGCAATAAAAACCGCAACTTGATGGGGGAGTTCCTTTTTTTTTCCCAAAGGGGTCGAACAAATTATAATAAATTCCAGAAAAATAAAAAAAACTCCAATTCACATCCTTGCACCCCCTGTGCGCCAACAACCGAAATGGTGACTCCATGAGCGTACCAATTTTTTTCCAAAGGGGTCGAAAATCGTAATAAATTTCAAAAAAATAGAAAACCATTCCATTCACCCCCTGTGCTCCGGCAATCAAAATCGCGATTCCATGGGCGTACCAATTTTTTTTCAAAGGGGTCGAACAAATCATAACAAATTCCAGAAAAAAAAAAAAAAAAAACTCCAATTCACATCCTTGCACCCCCTGTGCTCCAACAACCGAAATGACGACTCCATGAGCGTACCAATTTTTTTCCAAAGGGGTCGAAAATCGTAATAAATTTCAAAAAAATAGAAAAACCATCCCATTCACCCCCTGTGCTCCGGCAATCAAAATCGCGACTCCATGGGCGTACCAATTTTTTTTTCAAAGGGGTCAAAATCGTAAAAAAATCCCAAAAAATCGTAAAACCATTACCACTCACCTCCCTGTGCCCCCTGTGCTCCGGCTGATGATGTCCGCCGCCTCCGGTAGTTTGCCTCTGCCACCGGCCCCCCCTCCGGACGTACACGTTCGAGCCGGACAGGCCAGAGCCGAAGAACATGTTGAAGAGCTCCTCGGCAGTGGCGTCCGATTCGAAGCCCCTCGTGTAGGCGTGGTGATGGTGGCCCCCACGTGACGAGACGCGTTCGTCGTCTGCACCATAGAGGTCGTACTGTTTGCGTTTCTCTGGGTCGGTGAGGACGGCCACGGCGTTGCCTTTTTACAATTTTTTTTGTTATTCATATTATTGGTAATATTATTTCCAAGTGGACATTGCTACGGACCATTTCCAAATTAGGAATGAACAGTTTTAGATGGAAGATAAACAGTTGTGAATTGAGAATAAGAACTTTCAAATAATTGAGAAGAAACACATTTGAAATTGATTGTCTTCATTACCCCAAGAAACATTATTGCTTATAATAGGAGGAAGGAAAGCTCAAGGTCATCTCTACAACTTTAATAATTGATTATTGTTTATTCAAAAACTAGCTTCCAGTCAGAAATAAAATTTTGGTATGAGGAAGTTTATTACAAACAACAATAATAAAATAATATAAGGTGACAACAACAACAACAAAAAATCAAAAAAATCTAAAAATGCTAAATCGATCAAGTCATAAAAATAGCCACAGGGACTAATCAGTAGATGCCAAAGTATAAATTTTATCTATTTTGTAATGAAATCATTTGTTTTTTTAATTCAACTTCAAATTTTGAAATATGTCTGCAATTTTTTATATTATGTGGTAATTTATTAAATTCAGCTAGAGCAGCGTGTGTAAATTTTTTTTTGACAATTATAGAAGTAGCAGAATCAAGATGAAATAAGTTTGATTGTCTCGTGTGATGACCATGAATTTCTGAGTTTCTTATCAAAATTGAATTGGATTTCAGATTATTGTTTATTATATTATATTATGAAACTTTAAGAGAATCTATTTTATATCATTCATCCAATGAACATTTTTCTGTTATGGCATACAGATCATTTGTTGGGATATCAAATGAGAGGCGATAATGATGTAGTTATTCAAGGAGACATGTTTCGAACTTATAAAAATCCATCTTCAGCCGTATTTTAGAAATTACTACAAGCAAAGGCATGTGACAATATACAAATTGTTACAAAACCAAAAATTTACTCACATGGAGGTGAACGTTATTTGTTTTCAAAAAAGTTGCCGATCTCTCATCATAATATCATGAATGATATGTAATAATAAATAGGTTTTTGAAGGAATAAACGGGTTTTTATTTAAAATAAAGGGTCCCGTGCCCTAAGAACGCGCTCTTATAAAATCAAAAGTCAAGTCCCAGAAGGGAAACTTGATTTTGTTTGTAATACAGGAAAAGGGGTCCCGTGCCCTTGAGAGAGAGCACACTTGATTACCAAAAATCAACCTAGAATTGATGGGGCCAAAAGCCAAAAACGTGTCAAATTCAACTTAAGGTTAGAAACACGGAATTAATTGACATAAGTCAAAGTCTTAATGACATGATATTATAACAAGTGGCATAGGACACAGAATAAAAGAAAACACTGGGATGAATGTGAAATCAACTAGTGGTAGTACAGTTAGAAATAATTCAAACAGAAATGACAATGAGAAGATTTTGGGGGGGGGGGGAAGGAAAAAAATTCCAACGAGATGGTTAAGTAGCAAATCTGGAATATAAGCAAATGAATAATGATAATAGAAAGAGACCAAAGCAGGTGCCAAACAACATAAAACTAAATTTGGTTTTTGGTAAAATCTGAAGAATTGAAACATTTAATACAATCATAGTTCACCTGTTCATTAAGGGATGTCACAGAATTATTGTTCATAGCAGAATTTATTTCAAAAATTTCTAACAGATTCAATAAAGTACCTACCTTTCTGAGGAACATGTAAAATTTTCAGATCTTGATTCATGTCAAAATTATGTTCAGAATTTAGTATGTGGTTAGCAAAAGAACTCTTAGTGTCATACTCATATAAAATCGGAGGGGAGGTTATGGATTTTTCTATGGTTTTGACATGCTCCAAGACTCTAGTTGAACTCCTTCTACCACTTTGGCCAACATACTGTGCATTGCAATCAGAACAAGAAATGCTATAGACACCGGATTTATGATTCAAAGGAACTTTATCTTCTGTATTAACTAAGATTTTTGAGATATTATCAATAGTGTAAAAAGAAATGTTTATATTATCTATAAAACGATGAAAAATATTTTTAATGTCAATGGAGACCTTACCCAAGAAATTCCACTCCACTTTGAGCAAACATGGACTGCTACCAGAGATTATTATTATTTATAATAGGGATACAACAAAACATACATATAACATAATAAATTGAAACAATACTAATTGCACAATTATCGTTCTTCATGTAAAAAAAATATAATAAAATATAAAATGAAAATATTATAATCCATCACAAGTAATCGAATTGTGAATGATTATTAGATATGGAATTAAAGTTTAATGAGCAGATATTTCTTTAATATGATTTTGAATTTTTCTGCTTCTTCTATATTTTTCAACTCATTAGGTAAGAAGCTATATAAAATTATTCCATTATGGAATATTGATTGTTTACCAAAATTTGACATCATTATTTGCTATCAATAAATTAAATTGTCTTGTTTCATGGCCGTGAATCCTATCAACTTCATCTAAATTCAAATTTGATATTTTCAATTCCTTCCTGACAAAATGAATAACAGAACAAATCTTGAGTTTATATAATGAAAATAGATTCAGCAAGTTTTTAGGTAATTTCATGAGTGGCTTCAAACTTGAAAAATTTTTTTTACTTCCCCAAATATATAATATATTAGATATTGTGAATTTGAATAAAAAGGACAGAGATAAATACTCTTTAGGTATCTAACAGGAATGAAATTTCGAATTTTATATATAATACCAGCAATAGGATTCAATTTTTTCCTCAAATGATCTATATGTAGAGTCCACGATAATTGTTCATCAATATAAAGACCTACAAATTTTGTTACATTTGTATATTCAATGGACTTGTTATTGGCACATATTGGGGTATTATTCATGCAATGCATCCATTGTTCTTCTTGAGATGTACATAAAGATAAATTTATCATAATTAATATGCTCAAACTGAGAATAAACACTCAAATTAAGGGAAATATCATCAATTGATAAAAACATCACTAATGAATATAATTATTCAAATTGAGAATAAATCCAGTTAAATTGAGAATAGCCACTGTTGAATGAACATAAAAATATTCAAATTAAGGATAAAGACACATATCCATCTGAAGAAAAACCCTGAGCATGAGATGCTTGATCATAAGCTGTAAATAAATGTATCATTGATGGCAAAAGGATAAAAATAATCCAAGGGGTAAATCTCCTCCACTCCTTGAAGTCTTGTGTGCACTTCATTGGGAGTCTTCAGAAGTCTTTGGAAGTAACTAAGTCTTTGAAAGTCTTGGTTCATTGGAAATCTGGTGAACAGATTGTTCCCGGAGATTCACCCCTTGAAATATTCATTAAAAAAATAAACCCTATAATTTTTTTTCATTTTGAGAGTGGAAACATAGATTTAGACATTAAAATTGAGAAAAAATAGGATCAATGTGAATACACATTAGAATTATTATGTATGCAATTTTTTTTAACCAAAAAGGGCACATTCAGAAAGATAATAGTAACCTTCACATTTATCAAAACATTCAAATTGACAATGAACACATTAAAATTCAGACAACACATCAACAAAATGCAAAATGTGATGACCAGAGAGAATATCAGTATTATAATATATACTTACTGAACTAGGTTCTAAATGTTAAAAAAAATAATTAGATTTATCATCAAGAATGATCACTTCTCTGGGGCCTACACAAAATATTTATCTGTCTTTGAAACTATTTATGTTTAGTACTGAAAAGGAATATTCTCATGAAAATGAAAATGAAATGAAATGGATATAATGTTTATTCTCAACTTATTGATCAGATTCACTATGATCAACCATTCTGATGGTATTTTCACCACATTTTGCAATTGTAAATTCTCAATTCGATGTGTTTATTCCAAGGTTTATTCTTCAATTGAACAAATAAATCATATAAACTGGCAGCACAAAAGGAGTTACAACCTGTAACCATCCTGGAGAGAATATAATCTGGCATGAATATTGACTAGATACTTAAATCTTGATCACAAAAACAAAGAAATCAAGAAATTAGAAAATTAACCCAGGAAATTTCCAATGTTAATCCAATCCAGATTTCAATCCAATATTAGTTCCCTGATAAGGAAACTTTTATGATAATCAGCTTGTACCACTAGTAGAGGCAGGAGTACCTATATGTTTTTTAAAAATGTATAGAGAGAGGTGTGCATCATGTGTATTTTTTAAATTTGGATCCACAGAGAATATCAGAGGTGTGTATGTATTTTAAGAGGTCAAAGAAAAAAGTATACCTCACACATAATATCTCTAATTCATCTTACCAACTGCTTTGAAGGCTTCAGCAGCCCCAGGATATTTGTTCTTGTCAGGATGCATCTGCAGTGCAAGCTTTTTATAAGCTTTTTTGATCTCAGAATCAGTAGCATCCTTGCTTATCCCAAGAATCTCATAGTAGTCCTTGCACTTTTTCACTTTGTCCACTATTTCTTTCTGTTCCACCGAGTACTCTGGGGCTTTTCTTTCCTCTTGTTGGGGCTTCTGGGGTACATTTCTTTTTCTAGGCTCCATGGGCTCTGGTGAAGATTTTGGAGCCATCAGGTTGATTTTGAAAAGTAGATCTAGAAAATGAGGCATGAAAACTACACAAGAACTTGTATGAATAGGTACCTTTTGCTTTTTGTGTGGGGAATAGTTTCTCAGCTTTGTGTAGGAATTTTTCAGCTTTTTCTCTGTTCTTTTCTTTGATGTAGATTTCTGCCAAATCGATACACCGAGCTGCTTCGTCCTTGTTACCCTCCATTTCACAGTAATTGGAAAACGAGGAAAACCTGAAAAGTGGTGGAAAAACAGAAATTCTAATAATTAAATAATTCAACAGCTGATGTCATCTTGACACTTTGACACTGACCAAGTGACTACTGCACTGACGTATCTTGCGCAAGCGCTTTCGGTTCGAATATTGCGGCAAATTCGAAAATCAGCTGTATTGAGAACTTTTATCGAGTATCAATTTACTTTGAAATTTTGATATTCTCATGAAGGAATATGAAATGAAAATGGTTGATCTTTGAACTGTGATTTATTTATTGTTGTTGATTTGTGACTCAATCATTTCTACCAAATTACCAACGTACCAACTATAATCTGTCAAAAATGGCGGTCCAAGTTGCCAACCTCGTTTACTCGTAAAAGATTTGAATTTGTTTCTGTTGTACATCTGAGAAGTTTCGCGTTGGGTTCGTTGGGTTTCACATCCTTGGATTATTTAAGGTTACATCTTACATCATTGATGGAAGTAAGGATATGGTGTAACTACTGATGCGCTTTTGTTTCAGAAATTTTACTCCACCCCTCGAGAACAGCGAGAGCAATGGTTCCGTCATCAATGTTCCGTCGATCTTCTAATAGATGGCGACATTGCACAATTATAACCAAGGTTGGTAGAACTGATGACTATTTTGTATACAAATTATAATCAGTTCTACCAACCTTGAACAGCTAGTAGGCGGTTGAGTGATTTTTCTGAAATTCTCAATACGTAATTATGGCCGAATGCGCGCACCATATCTTACTTCCATCATTGTTATATCCAACATATTCCATTTTCATCCGTTGATTTTAGAGTCACTGGATAGTATTGGTTGATTCTTTGTCATTATTCTTTGATTCTACAGAGATCTCTAATCATTTCATGTTCGACATTTGACACATGACAGGAGAAAGTTCGCCTTTATCAATATTTTGGCGCAAAATTCCTAAATAACTTCCCAAAACGACTTTGATTAATGATTTTTTTTAATATTGGCCTGCCAATCGCTCATCAGCAATAATATAATATACAGGGTGTTTCCGAAATTGAAGCCATAAATAAAATGGGAGATAGAACTGATATAGGACCAAAAAAAGACGAAACTCTGAAGAAACCTATGTATATATTTGTGAAAAACATGTATATTGGATGATACTGATGAATCCCGAAGTTTTCCTGCAAATCTTATTCATTAATCAAATAGAAGTACACAGGGTATAAACATATAGATGTGTTTAAGAGTATCCAAATATGACGTTACATTGAAACAATTTTTTGAAAAGTTCATATAAACTTGTGTCCGTAACTGCTTCGTTTCGAAGATACAGGTTGTTGGAATTATTTGTTTTTTTCGAGATAACTTCTGCAGAAAACTATTTTTTCGTAAAAAAATGTGGCACCCTGTAATTTTTTTGAGGTTGGCAATCATATTTCCGTATGAATTTTCAGGTGGCGCCTAGAAGGACGCTATGTACACTGTCATTATATTCATTTAAAATTGCCCTAATTCTTTCTCATCAGTAAACATTTGGCACTTCTCGCAGTTCTCAAACTGTTCATTTGTTGTGCATTGAAAAATGAATGAGTTTTAGAGGTTGCTACTTTTATAACGTGTCACCACTGAAATGTGTATCGTGGTCACATGGAACATGGATATAAGGGTAGAAAAACATCACCTTCTCAAATTAATCTTATAATTGAAAGAACCTACTAGCTATGTTCAATCAACCTTATTTCTTCTCAATATCAATAATAAATGTACGTATCTGCATCGCACTCAGAACCACTTTCAAACCGCTGATATCGTCCAAACCGTCGTTTGTGTGTTCAACGCCCTCTGTACGGCGTTCCAGAAAGCTCAAATTCCATTTGGCTCGCGCCGCCCTCTGGTGGGCATCAAGGGAATCATCTGCCAGAAGGTCCTCCAACGGCGAACTGGCGTTGAAGTGCAGCCTCTGGTTGTCGGACAGCCATTGGTTCGCGCCCAGCGTAGTCTCTCTTATCGAGGTTATGTCGAAAGGCTCGAATAGGCCCTGAGAAAATTCGAAAATGATTAGCTGATTAGTTGGGAAGTTCTACGGAAGCGTACGTCAAATATTATATTCATACTAAGTGTCAATTGACACTTAGAGTGAATATAATATTGGCTAGTTAACATTATTAGATAACTAAGTGTCAACTAGCCTTATAATGATAACAAAAATATTATGTCCTTTATATACTCTAAGATGACTTACTTTTAAATCCACTTCCACAGGTTTGGATAAAACTGGATCTTCGTTGTTTTCTATGACGTGTTCCAGTCTAAGCAAAAATGTGTTAGCCTTCCATGGTTCCAAAGTTAATATTTGCACATTATCCGGGAGATTCCTTGTTAAGCCATTGTACTTGAATGAAAAAAGAAAATAATAACTATCTGGGTAATATGTTGGACAAACAAGTCAGAATACTACAACACGTGTAAAGGAGCATAATAAGAATTGATTTTTATTACCTGCATCACATATTTGGCCTTGTATTTCTGGTAAGAGAGGCCTTTGGTGGGGGACAAGAAAGTCCATGCTGACAGAAGTTTTCTCTGTGCCAAGTCCCTCGCTTGTGCCGAGGTAGTTTTACCTGAAATCGTTTCGACAATTTACAAAAAATCAAAATTTTCGCCACAGATACGAACAGAGATGAAAAAAAAATGTTCAGTGGAAAACAAAAAAAGATTGCATCGGCCGGGAATCGAACCCGGGCCGCCCGCGTGGCAGGCGAGCATTCTACCACTGAACCACCGATGCTTGATAGTAAGACAAAAATCATAGCATCTTGCCAGGACAGTTATAATTCACAATTTCGACTCTGTTTCCCACCAGTGCCGGATCTTGCGCTGGGCGTTGACGATTTGAAATTTGAAGTTATCCAGAAGGTGAAAGCAACATTCCCGAACATTTTGACTCTATTACAAACATATATTTGACAAAGGACCCCGCACGGTTCTTATGGAAAATGGGTTCCAGTCAAATTGGCTCAAAATTTGGTGAAATGTAGTTCATGATGTCCTGATCACATGTCTCCATGGGCACAAGGAGATCTAATGGACAGGTTTTTGAATACAGGGGGTTAAACATGCGGAGACAGCCCAGACAACACAAGTGAATCCATTGGACAACCAATGGATGTCCAGCTATGGATACCCTGGACATCCATTGGATGGACGGCATTGTCCAGTATTTGTCCAATGGACATCCATTGGATAATACATGTCCAACAGTCTGGACATACATTGGAAGTCCATTGGCTTTCCATTAGACATCTGATGGATTTCCATTGGACATCCAATATTTGTCCTTTCCATTGGAAGTCTATTGGATACTCATCAGACATCCAATGTATTCCCAATGAAGATCCATTGTATGTCCATTACATTTGAAATACCATTGTATACACATCAGAACTCTAATGGATGTCTACCAAAAATCCAACTTATGTCCATTCCAATGATAAGTTTATTGGATACTTATCAGGAATACATTGGATTTCCATTGGATATCCAAATTTTGTCCAGCCAGAACGTAGAAATTAAAAAAAAGTTGTCCTTTGAGGGGATCGAACTCCGGACCCCGCTCTCGTGGATCACAACGCTAACCTCTGGACCACTGAGCTGTTATAAATATTATAGCAAGTATTTCGTATTCACGGTATTTCACATCGAGAGAAAATGCAATTTGCTGAAGTTTAGTGCCGCAATAAAGCTTTTACACGGCCCTTATCAAAAGTGTTACAGGGTGATTCATCTTTTTCGAAAGAAACCCGCCGTATAATATTTGCCCATATCGATCTTATTTGCACGGCCTAAATGGTTTAAAATTGAAATTGGATGAAAATCAACTTCAAAATAAGTACCTACCTCTATATAGGTACGTAACCTACAAAAATGATGAGACGTATAAAATCTTGAAAAATAGTACCGAGTGCGAAGTTGTCCGTGATTAATGTTCATATATAATATATTATATATTATTGGTAAAAATATTTCAATTGAAATAAAAGAGTCATAAATGACACATACATACTTTGCGAAACGATTTCCATTGGATAAGTATGATGGATATCCATTGGCTGTAAAAATTTCGTTGTCCATTGTACAACTACAAAATGGATGTCCATTGTATGTACAAATCTCTATGTCCATTGTACATATACACAATGGATGTCCATTGGACATCCATGGACATCCGGCTACCTAATGGATTCAAAATGGACATCCAATGGATGTATGTGTGTTATCTGGGAGGGTTGTTACTTACCTTTAGAAAATCAGTTATGTAGCGATAACTTTGTTACAGGGTGTCAAGGATAACAACTATCATCTTGACATTGTCAACACGAATTTAAATAAAAAGTTATCAGACTCTGTACACCTACAGGGATATTCGTTTTCTAGTAGGTACTATATAGCCGCCAATAATGTTGATTTTTATATATTTCTTCGACCAAACTCAGTCAAACGCAAAAGCTTGCAGAATAAGTTTATAAATATCATTTATTTTCAATATTGTGTGATCTGAGGTTACTTTTATTCAGGGTTACCCAAAATTATTTTCTGTTGTTGTGTTGTTCTTTGAATCACGAATTATTATGCGTATTTTGGGCATTTCGCATCATCATGTACAGCATTTACACTTGTACCAACACTCATTCTAATTTTGTTATCCCAAGCTTTTTAGCTGATATGGAAGTTTCAATCCTTGCATCAAACTTGAGAAATTCGTTTTAAATAATTGCCTAAATTCGTGAACAGGGTCGTGTAGTTGAATAAATTGTATATCATTGTGTCTTGTAATTTTGAATACCCTCGTATGTTCAATCCGTATACTCATTCAATACATGAAGTTTGAAGGTGAATTTGTTAGGTATAAATCTGATTCAACTCTTTTTCTTCATTATAGCCGATAATAAAGCCGATCGCCACATTTGATGAATCACCCTGTATAATAACGAATCAATGTATCGCTGGTATCCAGCATGAATCCGATACCTCGTACAAAAAATGAGATATGCAAGCTTTCGCGTTTGACTGAGTTTGGTCAGAGAATTATATAAAAATCAACATTGGCGGCTAGAAAACGAATATCCCTGTATACGGAGTCTGATAACTTTTTATTTGAACTCGTATCGACAATATCAAGATGATAATTGTTATCCATGACTCTTTGTAACAAAGTTGTCCCCATATTACTGATTTTTTACAGTTAAGTAACAGCCCTGCCTCCGCATGTTTAACCCCCTGTATTTGAAAAACTGTCCATTAAATCTCGTTGTGCCGATGGAGACATTTGATCAGGACATCATGAACAACATTTCATCAGATTTCGAGCAAATTCGACTGGGACCCATTTTCCATAAGAACCGTGCGGGGTCCTTTACTCAATGATACCCATTTATATAATGCGTCGGATGAACGATCTTTTACGACGGCTTTGAAAAAATAAAAATATAGGTACTTGAGGCCTAATTTGAGTCAACCACCCACTAATCACTATTATACAGTATAGGGTGTGTTTCAAAATTCAGTATCATAATTTCACGGGCTTATTTTTAATGTGGAAATAAGACTTTTCCATAAGCGTATATCACAGAACTCATATTACGTATACGTACCTAAGTATAATATGAGTTCTGTGGCGTATATCCGCGAACGCGGTGTTACCAATTCATAGAGCGTTGAAGTTCCAAGATTTTTGAGCAAACTCACCGTCTGGATTGTTCTCTGTTGTCTTCCCCAAGATGACGTAATGAGACCCTCTTACGACGAGCCTCTGACCAAAAGCAGTTTCATTAAGAGCTTCACCGACTCCGAATGAGTCATCGTGCATACAATTCCTGTGAAGCTAAAAAACCAATAAAACTGTCAAAACAAATCGAGAATTATTTTAACATACAATCACTATCGAAATTTCAAGAAAAATTATTTCAGCTCTTGAAATATTGAAAATATGAATAGGGAGGTTTTTGAGGAAGCTGATTATGAATATGATTATTTAAATTGAGTCCTAATATCATTTTTCCCAATAAAGGTCTTTTTTGTACCCCTGAGCATTGCATGCCAATGGTGAATGAAACTGTTCATTCTGCTAAATACTTCCTTATTCTAACATACAATCACTTCAAAAATTTAAAGAGAATCGCACCAAGTGCCATTTTATAACCTGTCAACAGAGATTACACTTCTTTCCCGTCAAAAAAAATTACCATAAGCTCGATTTCTCCATCCCTCAAACTGGATCCACCCTGAGCCCTGTCAGGCAACACGTCAACCTGCACAGCCCTGTCTTCATCCCTCAACCCTATCCGGGAGGTCACAGGGTAATAATTACCAGCGATCGGTTCTTCCAAGCTGAGATTCCATGTTGGCCTGAAATTTCTGATCCTCATCAATGTTTCTCTGCCATTGGAGTCCGTGAAAAAAGTGGAGTTGGAGTTGAGGGAAGTTTTGTATCTGGTGATGATTTCTTTCCCATGAGCATCACTAAAAAAAACACATAAGTAGTCACAATCTACATACCAGGTGTTTTTCAAAAGTTGGTCATCCCAATAACTTTTTTGTTTATACTGATTAACAATTGGAGGTATGTAAGTATACTACAAAAATATGCAATATTCCATGTAATCGATTGTTCTCTTTCATTTACGGTTCGACCGTAAACGACTCATATTTTCTCATTTTAAATCAATCATCCGGAAGAAATTTTTATTTTTCAATTATTGTCAATCGATCTAGAGTGCCAAAAATGAGTGGAAACATTTGATTTTGAATCATGTTGCCTAGGCAAAATAGTTCTACTTTTCATTTGTTTCACAGGTTCATTCAAAATTTTACAATATCCCAATTCTTTCAAATAGAATGAGGGTGGCTCATACCATATCTGAGAAAGGTATTTTGTTACGAACACGTTGATATCACGCAATCAATATTTTAAATCAATATCCAGTATCATAATCACTAGATTGAAGATTGAAAATTGAAAATTTTAGAATGATGAATGTCAATAATAATGAATAGGTCAAATGATGCATATTCATGAATTATACTCACACATCAGATTTCATTTGTTTATTTATAGAAACAAAGAAGTTATAGAAGTGAGCCACTTTTGGGAAACACCCGGTATGCTAATATTATAAAAATGGAAGATTTGATTATTTGTTAGTATTGAATAGGGTCCGAAACTACTGGACCGATATGAGATTATGTAATTATGATCTCATTCTATTCAAATTGTTATCTAGGGATTTTCGAGATCTGAAATTATGATTCCTTCGTCAAAATTTAGAAATTCAATATGGCGGACAGGCTTCGTAATTATGATTCGATTCTATTCGAAATCGGTAGCCGAATTTGTAAATTTGGACGGAAATTCGAGATGGCGGAATCAATATGGCAAGCGAGTGTTTGTAGTCATTAAAATCCGATTCTATTCAAAATTGATACTTTAGGGTTTTCGTGATCGGGGATTATAATTCATTCGTCAAAATTAGGAAATTCGAGATAGCAGATCCAATATGGCGGACGAGTTTTTCAGTTATAATTCGATTCTTCATAAATTTTTTAGGAGCGAGTTTTCGAGATCGCAAATTATGATTTATTCATCAGAATTAGGAAAATCGAGATGGCGGATCAAATATGGCGGACGAGTTGAGTAGAAGATGAAATAATAATACGCAACTGACAAGATATATTCTAGATATAGAAGGTACTGAAGAGTTAAAAAAACCCCCACCTAACCCCTCTCTCTGTCCTCCCTAGGTATGCGCGATGTTTCACAAATATAATAAGAATGTCCTTTCGTGCGCTCCAAGAGATAAAAAATTATCTTCCCACTCACTTTAGCGGTATGGGACCAATAACCCAATCGAATTCAACATAAGTTTCTCCTCCATACACCCTGACGATCTGGCTGATCCAGTCGTTGAACTTCTGGTGGATCTCAGAAACCAGGGGCCCCCTGTAGACCTGCACCTGAGCCCTGTCAGCCACCTTAAAAGAACCCCCGTAGGGTCTGAAGACGTACGCCCCTGAAGACCTGTTGGCGAACTTCTCGTTGTCCCCAACGAACCCCTTGTAGTAGAGGAACTCCTGAGCGAAATCTAGAGACACGTCGTTCATGGTGATTTTGGTGATCAGGCCTGTCTTTGAGTTGATCTGGAACTCCGCTTCCTGTAAAAGGAACCTTTAGTCAGCCAGGTACTCAGACAGCACAGAATGTTATATACATGATCTCACAACTCTCCGAACATACCCCCTTCAGAATATTCCGAAGAATATTCATAGAATATGATCGGAATGTTCTGAATGTTCACAGAATATTTAACAAGTATATTCATAGAACGTCTCATCTGAATATCCAAGGAACGTTCCTAGAATATTCCTTTTTATTCCATGAATGATATTCAGGAATAATCATAGAATGTACTGTTCGAATATTCTAGGTATGTTCCTAGAATATATTAGTTGGATACTCTGGGAAAGAGAAGAGTGTTTTCTATAAACATATGTCCTCACTTCCTTCGTTTTTGAGATAGAGGGAGTCAAATGTTTCAGGAAAATTGATTTTTCATTGATTATTCAAAATTATTTTCGCTGATTCTGATGAAACTCGTCGAGCTCATCATTACTTTCTCCGTACACATTAGGGGCGCTGGAATTAAAACATATTCTTTCACACATCGTGATAATCGTGTGGCATCTATCCCAGTAAATATCAAATCTCTGTCTCAAATAGGTATGACAGAAATTCGGTAGTCAATCATAGAATCAGATGCTTTCTCTTGTTCATCGTTTGTATACATCTGTTATGATGATGATAGTTATTATTAAGTATATTAATGAAATATTCCTATGCGGAAGTTGGAATGAGTTTGATTTGTAAACCAAGTGATAGCGGTGGACCTGGGTTCGAATCCCGTGGCACTCGTTTTTTTTTTTTATTTGAATGTATCGGCAGATAGGTACTGGCCCTGATAATTCTTGTTGGTGCTGAAAGAATTGTTTGCTGGGATAAAATATGTGTATGGTGTCTGATGTATTATGTTTAAACTGTAACAGTTGTTGGGTGATGTTCTTTCAAAGAGTGTGAAATATCACCCTAATGCGATCACTTTTGGAAACTACTACATAATTTTCTCCTATATCTATTCCTGGAATATTTTCTATGCGCTTCAAGATACCTTGTGCACTGAAAATATTTCAAGATCATTCTGATGATGTTCCATTAACTCATAGAATGTCCTGAGAATGTTCTGAAAATATTATGAGAATGTTCTTGGAACGTGGATTTTTGTCCGATTTGCATGTTCTTAGAATATTCTCAGATCGTTTAGTGCACCTCATTGTGAGAATATTCTAGGAATATTCGAAATGTTCCACGGGAATAATCTGAGAACGATCTCAGAATCACTTCATTGTGCTGTTAGGTATCAGGAGTTTGAGAACTTACCCCGAACTTGTATTTCCTTACTGATTCTGCCTCAGGTATCTCATTATCACTAACTTGCTGGACAAAATAGGACTTGAAACCTAGAGGTGGTAAGTCGGATGCCTCGAAAATGAGTTCATTCGTTGCTGAACTTGATCTACCTGGAATCCTCAGAATCCCATCTGATATCGGTATTATTTGTGTATCCAGCTGTTTACCTGAAGCAAGAAGGATAGCAGTATTTTTTACCTGGACCTATAGGTGAAAGATATCTCACCATCTGGTCCAGTAACTGTATAACTCTTGCCTACTACTGGAAATCGAATAAAATTGGAAACAAATCTACTCAGAGGATTATAAGCAGTCACCACGAAGTTTTCATTGCTTTCTGTAAATTCGCACTGACTGACATTCAATAATGGACAACTAATGAAAGGAATAGCTGGAGCCGGCTCTTCTTCAACATCTATATCTTCCTTTGGTGCAACAATTTTACTATAAAACAAATAACTCACTTTCGACTGCTCCTCATGGTCACTTCAAGAACAAACCTCAGTGCTGTAGCTGTTATCCAGCTGCACTCATCTATCCCATTAGCCAAAATTCTAGCATAATCGTGGGCCACATGTTCCTTTTCCGTGCCAGTGATGGCATCATGATGTTGCATAACACCCATTGCTTCTCTAAGCGCGTTCAAATCGACCCGGTCTATAGGGTCCAGGTCTGTGAGAGCGTAGAGCTGTTTGCACACCTGGAGATCAAAATATGCTATATATTGGGGTTCTTAGGAGTTTTGGGACTGCAAACCTGTAGGAAATTGTTCCCAACGCGTTCGAACCTCTTGATTGTAGGTCGGGAGGTGTAGAAGCCAGTCCAAAAGGCATGAGGGTCAGATGCGTAAGGGAAGAAATCGTCACGTTTTATTTTCCAAGAGGATTTACCTTGAGATTGGTCGTGTATGGCTTTTATATAACAGGAAGGCGTTGAATAGATCAGGTTGTATCTAGACCCATTCGTTTGCCTCTGGTTAGCGTATCTATGAAAATAGTCTTCGTCAATCTTCAAAGCTCACTAGGTTTGAGTTAGAATTTTTATTTCTTTGAATTACTCACAGTATCAACTTATCTAAGTTTTTGAACCATGATTCAGCATATTGATAGTTGAAATCGTTACCCATTGTAACGATCACATTATTGGTACTATATCCTCTAGTGATATTTTTTAGGAACGCAAAGAAATCATCTACCTGAAGAATATATACGAACCTGATGAGCTTGTCTAGATTGTGATACCAAATTTCAGCATCCATATACGTGAAATCCCCGCCCATGGTGATGATGATGTGATTAGTGTTGTAGAAGCGTGATTGGCGATCTAAGTAAGCGAAAAAATGGTCCACCTAGCCAAAATGATTCGATGAATGATTCATGCAGAATATTATGAACATCACTTCTAGAAAAATAATCAAATATCGCTGACTTACTCTTTGGTCTACATTATAATCTGCACTTTTTTTATCATCAATGATGGGTTCATCTGAACATAGAATATCAAAGCAGAAGCCTCCAGGTGGCGAATAAGTGTTGTACATTACTCCTGTGAAGATATCGCTTTTCTCCCCTGGAAATGATAGGGATATCAGTGGAGGTATTGCTCAATGCTCTAGTCGTTTGAGGTAGTGCTTAACCCCACCTAAATTCTGACTTGCCCTCCACACCATTTCGGGCGTTCTGGTAGCCAGTCTGAAATTCTTGTCCTGATAGTCGATTCTGCCTAGCAACAGCCCATCAAAGCCTAGCTGGGCGAAAATGGAAGCCATCTCTCTGCTGTGACCAAATGGGTCAATTTGCCAACCCATTTTGGGTCTGCCGCATTCACCGAAAGTGTCATTCAATTTTCTGCAACCGAATAGAATGGTAGGTCGAAAATGAGGGTCGATTGTGGTTGAGGTTACCTCAGTCCCCAAGTCATTTGGTCGATGATAGAATGATAGTGGGTGACAGCTTCATCGTTCATGCTCCATCCTCCGCTGATGAATTCGAGTTGGCCGTTTTTAACGAAGTTTCTGACCCTGGCTTTGACAATGTCATGCTGTTTCAGCCACCATTTCCAGAAGAAGGCAGTTTCGACATAAATGAATCTAGAACAAAAATCTTGAAAATTCTGGGATTCAAGGAATACAATAATTTTGAGAATACGATAGCCCCAATTTATTTACCTTCTATTTTTATCTTTCTTCAGTGAATCTACAACGGAATCTAAAATGTACTGAACTCCAGCATTTTGTATTCTTGTTTTACCTGGAAGATAATGCTGAGTAGCTTTGGATCTCATTGAATAAACCCATCAATAAATTAATATACCAGGTAATCTATGTAAGTTTACGAAAAATGAGGTGTATTAGTCTACTATCTGAGAAAGGGCCAACAAAGATTTGAAGCAATCAGAATGAAATTGAGAAATAGCCAGGTATGGTTTTCAATGAACATTTTCTGAGGAAAACGTTTTCGCTGCTTGAAACAGTGCGTTGCCTGTAGAGCTGTGTTGTGATCTGGAAAAATGAAATATATTTTTGCTATTTTCGAAAGTGACTGAGACCAAAGAGTCACTTCTATCCATAGCAGTAGAAGGAATTTCAATTCTTTTTTTCGAATTTCGATCAGATTCAAAAATATTTGATCCCATCATGAATAACTCCTCGTATTCTTATATAGATCACTCTGTATAATATAAGAAGAACAATCGATTCATTTAGTTCATTTCAATGGAAACTTACTGCCATAATAGTATTGATCAACAGTTTTCAGCCAACCTACGTCATCATGGGTATGAGGCACTATGTGAACATTGATGAAATCGCCATTTTTAATTGAATGACATGACTGTGAACAAAAATTCGGTTTTCAGGTAGGTACACACAAATTAATTATTGGTGATTTTGAGGTCAGGTAGAAATGTTCGAAAATCTTTATGAAAACGGGTCCAGACTGAGAGAATTGTAGTAGTACTCACTTGATATCCACATTCAATTGGAGGTGCAGAAGTGGTAGTCCTTATTGGGCTAACTTCAGAGAATTGTATCCCAATAGTTAGAGCCAAAATAAATAACATTCTTGACATTTTGGAGCTGTTTTTTCGTCGAGGCTACATCTGAAACAAAACCGTTCATAAGATATTTTTGAATTAGACAGCAGAACAGATCGAAAGATCTTTGGCAAGCTTCAGATACTCTCTCAAACAACATTTTCTGAACAATCTCATTCAACAAAACATTCTCATCATGTATAAAAAACTTCTTTGATTCTACTGATACCCTAGGTCAATTTACTATTGATGCATCCTTCTATGTTTACTATAATTTAACATATTTCTGAGTGTGTCGTGCAAGAGTAAGAATGGAGCTATCCAATCTTGTATCCTATATTGGCAAATAAAATTTGATCTGAATTGTATTGCCTATTCTTTTGACCATAAATTAATATTATTATCATTGTAAAAATGTTACATTTATCAGAATATAACGATGGATAATAAAACCATTCAACAGGAGCGAATATGGAAATTTAATATGTTTTATACAAATGGTCAATCCATTGAAGAAATATACGAATATCTTGGAAACCATGGAGAATTGATGAGAACTAATATGTTTCTAGAAGTCAGGGTGCCATGAACAATATGTGAGCAAATTTTTAGAGTGATTTGATTTTTTGTTACCTGAAAAATTGCCGCAGTGAGCTACAAAGTTTTTTTCCGAAATCTCCATTTCTGGATATTTGGCACCTTGAATAAATATAAGCTGAATCTGTAAATCAGTTGAAAACTGAAGCTATGAGTTTCAAGTTTTCTCACCCTGTAGGTTCTATTTTCGAGTATCTCTAGAACAAAGTTTCAAAAGAAACTGATGACTTTTTTCTATGTAAGCAGATTCATGTAGAAATTTTGATATTTATGAATATTTGACAATTGGCCTCGACCTATTATTCTGTTAGGAAAATAAACACATATTGAACAAATCCAATCAGGTATCAGGGAAGGTGATATAGCAGTTCTGTCTCAGTGTATAAATTCCAATTATCATGATTTTTTCTGAGTCATGTTCAAAAAAACAAAAGTTCATTTTCGTCTTTTATGAAATTATCATATAGTTCCTGCTACTTTCTTTTAGGTGCGATATCACCACATTGTTGAAAAACATTTCAAAGTACCATCCACCACAAATAACCAAGTATATTTTTCTTCTCTACAGTGTCTTTCATGAAGTCGCCATCATATGGGAAAAACTTTTGTGCTAATTCATTTCGAAATTCGATTTGGCCGTTCGACTCTATCTAAAAACGTAAAAAAATATAGTTCTGATGTAATTGAATGTCAATATTCGAGGATGGCGATTATTTGACCCATTCTGAGAAGAAAGTTTCATATAAACGAATGACCTAAACGTCCTATCTTTTAAGATACATGGTGGTAAAGTTCTCAAAAATTGATATAGCTTACTACAATAAAAAAGCATAATTCTAAAATACCCAATACGAGTACAAAGTTCATAAACTATGATTTGTATTTCTGAGATTTGATCTAAAAAATAAAATCGATTATCTATTAATTTGAAAAAAAAAGTAACTTTCAACATGTAGCAAAAGTCACGTCATCTCCAATGAAGCAAAACTGAATTCACAAGCCGAATTTCGAAATAAATTATCAATAAAAGTTTTTCCCATATGATGCCGACTCTATGAATGACACTGTATAAATACCCACCCGGTATCGTCAGGAACAAATCTCCGACTTTCACGAATCTATCACCCTTTTATCGACCACCTTCAACCCTTATCAATAATTCTCACCCCTATTTCTTCTAGTCGATGAACAGCTGTCGTCTGCAGTCGGAAAATTGAGGAAAAGCGAGAAAAACCACTACGAGTTTTCACTAGGGAAAGCACTGAATGTCGCACTACTTGTCAGGAACGTTCAAAGGTGACTAGACAGGATAGTCAGTTGTTTGTATAATTGTATAGAGCTCTTGATAACAGTTAGTGGCAGTCCCTACTCTCAATTGTTTTGAGTTCAATTCGCTTCACTCACTAGATATCTTCGAATTATACAGAGTGTCTTGCATCAATTGGCCCATTCTCTCAAATTAGGGAGATTATAAAAAACTAGCTGTCCGGCCCCCATTTGATAGTAGATTGTTTTATTAGGATCAGAAGTGTCACTTTGCTTGACGAGCGAATTTTTGCATCTGCGAGGCGTAGCGTCTAGGGAGGCCGAGCGAAAGCAAAATTGGCGAGTCAAAGAAAGTCACTTTTGATCCGGATGAAACATGCTATTTTTTTCTGCAACCGAGAGGATTACCTGAAATATATATATTTTTTTATGTTCAGGTTCCCACGAAAACGGATATCCTTCAATGTTCAGAGAACATAGGGTAGGAATTGGTGCTCTTCTTGAATTCCTGGAGGTTATAAGTCTCGGGGAAAACCTCCCTTGGCAATGTGTTCCAGGGCCTCGTTGTTCGTTGGATGAATAAGTCTTTGGAAAGAGATGTTCTACAGGTCTCCAAAGAAGGGGTGCGAAGCCTCAACTCGACGGGTTAATCTCGCGGGGACTGCCTAGGGAGGAACATTTGTTCATATTTCAGAAGAGCATCGTCAATGAAAATATCTATGGAACAAAGCCAGACCGACAACTTTTCAACGGTGTTCCAGAGAAGTGAATGAGTTTGTGAGCGAGGCATCACCCACGAGATGAATTGCCCTTTTTTGGATAGAATCCAACAGTTTCAGGGTATGTTTGGGTGCTGCACCCCAAATACGGGAACAGTATTCCAGGACAGGTCGGATATGTGCCTTATAGATCATAAGCAGCTGACTGGAAGTGAAATAGCTCCTGGCCCGAAACAGAAAACCGATATATAAATGTTTGTCATCTGTCTAGATAACGCTTCCATTTTGACTACGTGACCTAAATAGGCGATTTTTCGACCCAAAAAATCGATGGTGAAAACAGAATAGAGGTAATTTTGCTCTGAAAAAGGTTCAGATTTTTCTCTACGACCTACTAATCAATTTCCTTAACTGATATCTAAATGTTTGTCATCTGTCGAGAAATCGCTTCCATTTTGATTCCGTGACCTAAATAGGCGTTTTTTCGGCCCAAAAAAATCAATGGTGGAAACAAAATTGAGCTATCATAGCCCTGAAAAAAGTTAAGATTTTTCTCTAGAACCTACTTATCAATTTCCTTAACTGATATCTAAATGTTTGTCATCTGTCGAGAAATCGCTTCTATTTTGATTCCGTGACCTAAATAGGCGGTTTTTCGGCCCAAAAAAATCAATGGTGGAAACAAAATTGAGCTATCATAGCCCTGAAAAAAGTTAAGATTTTTCTCTAGAAGCTACTTATCAATTTCCTTAACTGATATCTAAATGTTTGTCATCTGTCGAGATATCGCTTCCATTTTGATTCCGTGACCTAAATAGGCGGTTTTTCGACCCAAAAAAATCAATGGTGAAAACAGAATTGAGCTATCTTTGCTCTGAAAAAAGTTTAGATTTTTCTCTACGACCTACTAATCAATTTCCTTAACTGATATCTAAATGTTTGTCATCTGTCGAGATATCGCTTCCATTTTGATTCCGTGACCTAAATAGGCGGTTTTTCGACCCAAAAAAATCAATGGTGAAAATAAAATTGAGCTATCATAGCCCTGAAAAAAGTTAAGATTTTTCTCTAGAACCTACTAATCAATTTGCTTAACTGATATCTAAATGTTTGTCATCTGTCGAGATATCGCTTCCATTTTGATTCCGTGACCTAATTAGGCGGTTTTTCGACCCAAAAAAATCAATGGTGAAAACAGAATTGAGCTATCATAGCCCTGAAAAAAGTTAAGATTTTTCTCTAGAACCTACTTATCAATTTCCTTAACTGATATCTGAATGTTTGTCATCTGTCGAGATATCGCTTTTATTTTGATTCCGTGACCTAATTAGGCGGTTTTTCGACCCAAAAAAATCAATGGTGAAAACAAAATTGAGCTATCATAGCCCTGAAAAAAGTTAAGATTTTTCTCTATGACCTACTAATCAATTTGCTTAACTGATATCTGAATGTTTGTCATCTGTCGAGATATCGCTTCCATTTTGATTCCATGACCTAATTAGGCGGTTTTTCGACCCAAAAAAATCAATGGTGAAAACAGAATTGAGCTATCATAGCCCTGAAAAAAGTTAAGATTTTTTTCTATGACCTACTAATCAATTTCCTTAACTGATATCTAAATGTTTGTCATCTGTCGAGAAATCGCTTCCATTTTGATTCAGTGACCTAAATAGGCGGTTTTTCGACCCAAAAAAATCAATGGTGGAGACAAAATTGAGCTATCATAGCCCTGAAAAAAGTTAAGATTTTTCTCTAGAACCTACTTATCAATTTCCTTAACTGATATATGTTTGTCATCTGTCGAGAAATCGCTTCCATTTTGATTCCGTGACCTAAATAGGCGGTTTTTCGACCCAAAAAAATCAATGGTGAAAACAGAATTGAGCTATCATAGCCCTGAAATAAGTTAAGATTTTTTTCTAGAACCTACTTATCAATTTCCTTAACTGATATCTAAATGTTTGTCATCTGTCGAGATATCGCTTCCATTTTGATTCCGTGACCAAAATAGGCGGTTTTTCGACCCAAAAAAATCAATGGTGAAAACAGAATTGAGCTATCATAGCCCTGAAAAAAGTTAAGATTTTTCTCTAGAACCTACTTATCAATTTCCTTAACTGATATCTAAATGTTTGTCATCTGTCGAGATATCGCTTCCATTTTGATTCCGTGACCTAAATAGGCGGTTTTTCGACCCAAAAAAATCAATGGTGAGAACAGAATTGAGCTATCATAGCCCTGAAATAAGTTAAGATTTTTTTCTATGACCTACTAATCAATTTCCTTAACTGATATCTAAATGTTTGTCATCTGTCGAGAAATCGCTTCCATTTTGATTCAGTGACCTAAATAGGCGGTTTTTCGACCCAAAAAAATCAATGGTGGAGACAAAATTGAGCTATCATAGCCCTGAAAAAAGTTAAGATTTTTCTCTAGAACCTACTTATCAATTTCCTTAACTGATATCAAAATGTTTGTCATCTGT